TATAATATATATAATTTTTTTTTGTAAAATGACTTTTAAATTACTTAATTTAAAGGAACCCCAACACTTAACAAATAAAATAAAATAAAGTTGTTTTTAAACAGTTATTGCTGGTTTCAAGCAAATTACAAGTGATTACACGCTTTTTATTTTCAATATGAAAAGATCTGTATTAAATGTAAATTAGTCTTGTCTTGAAATACAAGACATTTTTATGGTATTAGTACACTGAAAACAAAAACTAAACTCTCAAATGTTCACACGCCTCTCTTAATCTGCGTTAGTGAGCACTTCTCCTTTGTTGATATAATCCATCCGTCTCTTAGACGGCCTGATTAATACACAGGTGGGCCAACTATTGTCTCAGCTTTCACTGTAACTAACTGTACATACTATCTTTAACCCCATTAATCTGAAAAGCAGATCAAAACTCATCCGCTTACACATTTCTTTCCTAAACATTACTTTAGGTAACATAGAAAGTATTCATGATCAGTGTTTCTATGTTTCTTCACCTCTATCTTCTCAAATCCTCATTTGGCCGAGGCAGAAGGCCATTCAAACTCAACTTTGTTCTGCTGGAGGTTTTCTTCAATTAAAACAGTTTTTTTCCCCAATCATCCATTGGTTTTGCATGCATGCTTGGTGTCGGAGATTATTTCAAAGTCAAATCTGCATTGACACTATATGCTCATCCAGGAGGAGTTAAGTCTGCAAAATAAATGGCACGATGCAATCAGCTGGGTTTCCTTAGATTGAAAACTTTTGGCCAATCTATTTGTCTGATTTTTTTCACCTTAGTGTCAAAGCGCACCAGATCTTGAATTTGAGAAAAAAGATATGAGGACGGGGACATGACAAAAACATGTATTCAAAAGTATGGATGGTTAGATATATACAGTAATGTCCAATTAAAAGCAGTGTATTTCAATATAGTCTTAATACAATACGATCATGTGGTTTTACCTGGTAAAATAAAATTGTTAAATGAAACCAGTAGACCACATTATATCCCCTTGATCTAAGAGAGCAGGAATATTGGAAAGAACCAACCTATTTTAACAGGAAACATACATTGTTACTAGGCTTAGCAGTAAATGTGTTTACCTCTCTTTTCTAGCAGTGTGATGAGGGCTTGTTTAGTTATTTATATACAGTATATGGGCTTGACTATAAGAGCTCTTTAGGTATTTAGGAAGAAGTATTTCCTGTTATATTATATATTTAGGAGGTTGCCAATTAAGAGAAACTCTCTTGTTAATATCCTCATGGTCTGCTTGGTGTTTTTCTACACTACTAAATAGTTAAAACACTAGAATATAAAAGGAAATGAATACATTTCTCACAAGTTGTTCTCTTCCATAACTCTCAAACATGTATTTAAAGGCATAATACACAGTTCATAGTTAGCACCTAGCCTTGTTTTTCCTCCCATCAACTAGATTGCTGACATTGCTTTGTTTTCTGTCGACTGTTTCTTTTTCTCAATCATTGCTGCTTATTTTGTCATTAGGTAAAACATTTGCGTTTTTTGAAGGCTTGTCTTTTTGTGTGTGTTTTTTCTACTTTTTGGTTCAGAGATACTTTTTTAGTTTAGTTTAGTTTTTTTACACTACGTTACCTCTGTGACCCACCTCAGCTCTTATCAGAATCATGAAATCAAAATCAGAAAATGCTCTATTGCCATGTAGTGATTCATATGTATGAGGAATTTGATTATGTGATGCTGCAGAAGTTACGTACGGATGGCATAAAAGTATACATGAATATACAATTTGTGATAAACAAATCAAAGTTGTTGCTAAAGAGCACCTCAACAAGACAGAAAATAATATTAAAAGCATAAAATGATATTTATATAAACATGTTATTCTCATACACACATGCTGAGATGTTTAGATATTTTTGTACCCCAATGGAAAAAGTGTCAGTGGATCTTCGATACCTTTTTAAAGATGCTAGTAGAAGATTAGGAAAAAATATTTTTTTGCACTGAGATGCTCTGGTTCTAAAGAACCGCATTTATCTGCCAGAGGGATGAGTCTATGATGGAGGGGGTTATCTTATCTGCAAGCCTCTGAGTCCTGCAGGTGTACACTTCCTGAAGAGAAGGAAAATTGCAGCCAGACACCCTCTTTGCATTACAAATGATAATCTGCATTCTGCTCTTGAGCCTGATGGTGGCCAGGTGGTAATGGACGAGGAGAGGATGTACTCAATAATAGCAGAATAGAAGTGCACAATATAATTGTCTTTGATACGCTGAGCTTTTACGTAATGTCATAGCTGTTATTATCACATATTTTAAACTGGAATGCTGGAAATTTCTATACCAGGTGACCAACAGCTCCAATTTATTACAATAATTAGAGCAAAACCACCAGAGCATAATCTAAAGTGTGTTCACATAAACTCAAGGAAAAGGTTTTTCATCAAAACAATAAAAGATAAAAAGCTACAGTTGAAAGGTCAAACTTTAATTTAAAAGATTGTGTAATATTTATTTTCCTCATAACTTTGTAAAGGTCCCTGAGGATATCTAATTACTTCCATGCACCGTTTGATTTGCTTTCAATAAATGTAAGTATAGTTTGAGTTTAAGATGTTTTTCTTTCCATAACTTATACCCACATTCATATAAATGTTAGACTGATGTCCTCTTTGTTCATGTGTTACAAACGCTACATCTTTTGTTGAGTCATTTTTTGTGTAACTTTATGGCTGAGTGGTATTCTCCTAAATGAGTCAGCTGTCATATTTTTTTTTAAAATACAGGCACATCAGTAAAGACCTTCCTTAAATGCAAGCCTATATGTGTTTACCTGTCAAGATTTCAAAATAATCTGATGTCCTTATGGATTGATGGAGTCTATTTCTATAGTACAACGCAAAGAGAAAGGAAAAATACAGACTCAAAAAACATGATACAGCAAAGGACAAATAAAGTATCCCACATTAAGCATTGCAACATGTGAGATTATCACAGAAAAAGATTAAATGATGAATGATATGATCGTAGTAAGTAAAATAAAACATTACTGTAATGGTAAATTATTCTTTGATCAGACTGAAGTTGAATGTTTTGGTAGCGCATTTAAGGCGGTAGTGAAATGTTTAGTGTCTGCAGTATTACAGGTATAACAGCTAGGAACCTCATTTTAAAAAGTCACCTTTACCATAGCCAAGTAGGATGGAAGATAGCTAGATAGCTAGATAGATAGCTAGATAGACAGATAGATGATAGATAGCTAGATAGATAGATAGATTATTACACAATCTACCAATCAATAAAACAAAATAAAATTAATGTAATCAAAGCATCAAAAACCAAAGTAAAGTAAACTAAACTTCTTCATCTACTGAACACAGAATACCATTAATGCCCCATTTATTTACAAAAACATCTATGCTCTTTGTTAACTTAAAAAAACTCAAATTCTACACGAACACGAGCAATTATCAGTCTCTTAAATAAAACACAAGCATCCTCCGTTTGATGACAGTAAATTTTCTTCTTTCTTGATATCCATATTGCTAGTTTTGCCATTCCAGAAAATAAATTTAAAAGCACATGAACAGATCTCTTCTTTGCACAATACCGTGGACCATAAAAAAAAAAATACAGCTAGAGGACTGAACAGCAAATCACTAAACAAACGACCCAAAAGGAAAAAAAGAGGATTCAATCCTAAACATTGAACAAAAAAATATGATGCAACGTTTCCTCCTGTAAACAAAAAGGAATTTTAACACTAGCGTCAGGATTAAGGTGAGCCAGATACCTGTTTGTAGCTATTGCCCCATGTACAATCCTCCACTGGAGATAGATAGATAGAAAGAAGGAAAGATGAATGGCAACCTACACAGCTGTTGGTTTTTGCATTCTCTAATAATTTCCACCAGATGGCGCTGTTCACCAAGCCAAAGAAGGGTCGCCCTGAGCAAAGTCTCCAACAAACACCCGCAGAAACAGGGCTTGGTCCTGCCAGTCTTCATCCACATAACAGCTCGGCCTGCCATTGGAGAGCCCGCTGGAGAGAGTGAGCAGAAAGAGGAGGACGCAGGAGAAAAACGCAGGCTATCAGTATCTGCGCCTCTACCGATGCAACCAGACAGCTTCTACTGGAGACAGATATTACACATTAGAAAGTTCGTTATTTAGATAAAAGGGACAAAGAGGGAGAGGCAAAAAAAAAAAAAAAATGGGGCATACCGCAATTCCAGTCCTGGTGGCTTTATTGTCCTACTGCGTGTTGGAAAACGTTGAGGTAAGCGCAACCTGAGGGAATGGATGCAGCGCTCCATCTATGCTTCTTTCTTTGAATGGGAGATTTCTCATGTTGTTATATTTGTTCTAAACTGTTTAATCCACCGCTTCCTCTTCCCATCAATGCTGATACTCTGGTTTTAATGAGGAAATGTACCCCGGAGCAGATGTCATCAGCAGCAATGATGGCATAGTGTTAGGATATAACGAAATGGCTGCTATGGGAATCCTGATCTGTGACATGAATGCTGATCTCACTGTCAGTCCATCAGGATGGCTTTTACTGTACATATTGGCACGCTGCGTCAGGTCTGGGCCTGCATCTAACATCAGAGGCCTTTTTTTCTTTGCTCTGTGAATAGATAGAGAGAAAATCCCATATTATAATTGCTTCCCATCTGGACACGTCAGAGGATGAAATCAGCTTTCATGGGAGTTTTTTTTTTCTTCATATGATGGACTCATGCATATTCAGTGCCTTTGATAGAGTATTTAATCTTGTATTAGTCATGGATGTAAATCAATGGGATGCAGCAGACATATGTGTTTGGGCGTGATGCAGGGATGAAAATAAAATAATCTTTCTACATCAGTAGGTGGATAGGAGAGGATGAGAGTGACAAATCATTGAGCCAACAGCTGCTCCCAAAACCCTACCTTTCCCACGAGTAATTAACAGCAGACTCACAAATGAATGAACTTTTTTCACTCAGTTTTCATCATGTCTGTAGCTGGGGCATCGATGAACAAGTAGGTCTACATCCCTGGTATCAAATATTTATTATTTTCAGGAATTAAATGTATATGTGAAACTTTATTATCAAGATTTCTTACAGGGTGTTATCAGGCATTTATTGTTGTTAAATTGTATGAGAAAAAGTCAATGCAGAGGTTGGGAAAACTGCTGTTTAATAACCAGGTAGACAATCATTAAATTCCTCGATTAGTAGAATAAACCATAAAACCTTTTAGCTAAAGCAGGATGTTAAAAGTATGTTGTATCAAGCCGATTAATGGAAAGTTGAGTGGAAGGAAAAAATACAGTAAACAAGGTGCATAAGCTGCAGAGATAACATCAGCCTTAGGAGATAAAATTGTGCTTCTGGAGTCAGTACCTCAAGAGCCACCATCCACATGTGTTTCCCAGACGTGTTACTGGTGCAGTCCTAGTGTGCACTCCTGAACCACAGACAACATCCTCTGGATGTGTCATCTGTTAAATGTACCTGCTTCCTTCTTTCAGTATCATGGTGGTGCTCGCCTATCTCAGTTGAAGAATTTCCAAGAAACTCAATAAACTCTACAATTCAATGCTCAGGTCACAAAAAACTAAGCTTTGTTATGCGTGCTGCTGCTGATTCACCTAATGGACATTTTGACTGACAAATTTACATCATATTAATTTTTTTTGGAATGAGGAGGAAGCAAAACTGACATAAAAAAATGTATAACCAATAAAGGAAGTGTTTTTCACCGGGGGATTATTGCTTTACAGCGGTGGTGTTTGCAACCGTGCTACAGTACAGCTCTGTCGGTACCCTTCCGATACCAGAGTTTTGTTTGCTTTTATAATCATTGCTGTCCTCTCTATAGCCAAGTAAAACATGTATAAATGTCCATGTGTGTTCCCATAAGGCAACTTGAGCTACATATTTGGATAGGAAAGCCCTAAGAACTAAAAGTGGTATTAAAAAAAAAATGTCCAACTGTAAGCATTCAAATGAACTTTAAATCAAAGACATATGTCCATAAAGGGGTAAAGAGATTTTAATGGAACTTAAACCTATATTAGAAATAGATTCAATGCATCTGCCCCTTTTTATCAGGCCCATTTTTGCCAGATTACCCAATCTAGAATTGTCTTAGGTATGAGAACATGTACAGATAATGATATTAGATCAATGAATCTCTACTAAAAACCATAGTGAGAGTCCTCTGTAAGCCATACTGTATAGTAGTAATGCAAAATCTCCCCGACAAAATATTGAATACACTGTATATTACACTTATATATTTTCCATCAGCCTCAAATATCTTCTTCTTTTTCTTTTAAAACCCTTTTTGCATTGATCCTTGATAGATTGTCCTTTGAATTAGGAAACAATGACTTTCCATTCTTATAAAGGAGCAGAGGAGTGTTGGAATGGTTTGGCAAGAATATGAGGAATGCCTATGAGGCAAGGTAGGATGAGTCATGATCTCCCAGCTGGAGCAGTAGTTTGAGTCAAATGCGTCTGTTTCTAAAGCTCCTGCTTGAGATATCTGCAGCCTATTAGATCTTAAGTCAATGCTGCAAAACGTGTATTCATCAGCCATCTTTTGCAGTGACTTTGTTATGGTCATATAGCCTTCTCCTTTCGTTAGGAAAAAAAATCACTTCTAAGAGTCTTAGTGGGATTAGTGGTATGCTGAGGAATGGGATTTAGCTTCATACAAGGAGAACGGCCTGTAAAGGTTTACACTAAAGATTAAATAGTGAGAGGGTTGACTGGTTGGATTATGATGTGGTATTAGTCATAATATAACCATCAGCCTCTTTTAATTTTCTCAACATTAATTCAATTAAAATAGGCAGAGGGACACATTTGTTTGACTAGTCTTTCTTAAAGTATGCAAAATATAGTCACCATCTCAACATTAAAAATATATCACAAAATATAGTCACCATGTTTTGTAATAATCAGTACACATTTACTGTAATTAATTTTCTTTCTGCTTCTTCTTGTTTTAAGTAAAGAGATGCATGTGTCACACTCTATGTTGAAGATTTCCTGCAGTCTCAGCTAAAAAAGGCTCAGCACTCAAAGTATGTTACTGCCTGACACACTGCAGAGTTCTGTTTCTGACACAAAAGGTCACTGATTTGACCTTCCCCATGGCTGCATGTGAACTCGTACAGTGCAGAACGATGACAACGGAAAGTAAAACCTCTTCAACTGTCTGGAGCCTTTAGGCACACCGTCTATAGGAATGAGTAATGTAGATCACGTATCACACTGCATGATAGAAAATCTATTCCTATGGTCACATGACTTGATACAGAGATGAGATCTGAAGATAACAGTGGCCTGTCATATTTGTTGGGTTTGATGCATATGCACTCTACAGTCAGGTTACCGTATCCATTCATTTTCAATCAGTCATGTCAAGAGTGTTTCAACTTTCCATTTGCAGGTAATTATGCTTTATTCAGCTTCTAGTCAAACATTTAAAACATTTTAGTTGTTTTTAAAGAGTAAATATAACAGAAAAAAAGGCGAAGTAGCCCAACAAAGGTTTTGACTACTTTCCACAGGAATAAATATTTGAACATCAAATTGACTAAAATAGAACCTCAGTATAGAGTATTATGGGGAAAATAAATTAAATATCAAAATAGATTGATAAGTAATCATGCAAACTGAGACCAGAACTTTTTAGAAGATGGACACAGCAAATATAGGCAGTCATTTTTTTTCCCTCTGCTTTCCTATAAGATACCTTTATTTATAGTCATTGAATAGAAAAGATTGTAGTGATTGATTAAATAATGAATTATACATTATTTACTTTTATTTGTTATTTTATTTCTCAATTTTATTTTGAAAGATAAAAAATGTGATGACTTTGGATATAACAGAGTGTTCTTTCTCGATTTAATGAATTAAGGTTTGGATTTACATATTTTTATTAGATTGTTTGTGATTCACTGAACCCAAGTTTATATTTAGTAAGGTTAGTTAAATGTTTTAAAAACTTCCATTAGCATCAAATAAATATTTAACCAACACTATTCCTTTACTGTGCCAAGATTGCATGAAATTTGACTTTTTGTTTCAAATTATCACCCATAAAACAGAAACATGTGGAGAATTAGGGATAAATATCATTCTAGAGAACAATAATGGTCTGTTTGTGGAAAATAGATGATTTGAGGGGAATTTTATGCTTAGGCATAGGAGCTTAATCATCATTACATTTTTGCCTTTTTGTTTAAAATGTTACAATCAGTAATGAAGACATTTCACGAAAGTCCACCTAGATGTGTGCTTAGCAGGATGGATCAAGGGCACATAGAGGTGGAACAAAATATGACTGAGGATTGGGACACAGTATGCACTCATGCCCAGCAGCAGGGGGGGGACTTGAAGTAGTTAGGGTTCAAGTATTGTGACAGGGCCTAAGTACAAGGAAGAAGCTTTCCATGCCATTGGAACTGTAAAGTTCTGTGACAATTTACTGGATAAGCCAACTTTCACCCAGCTATGAAAAAAACAACAATACAACACGCACTGGGATTAAACTGAGAAACTGTAAAAACACCTATGAGAATATTGGTAAACTTGTCAGGTTGAATAACTTTCCATATGGTTAAGGGTTTGTTCACAATTTTTTAGCCTTTTCATAAATGTACAAAACATACTCTTTTTGGACCCCCCACCCTTCAAGCATACATTAAAAAGACAGATTTTTGCAACCAACTTTTTTTTTTAGATATAGAAGATATGAAGTTATGGGGGCTATTTTTGATAGAACTGTTTTTATTAGACATTTTTACAAAAGTGGAACTTTTTTTTGTTAAATATTCCATGTTTTTTTTTTTTTTTTTTTGCAGGTCAGAATGGTCTGATGATTAATCATCATGGGTTATCAGTATGGCAGAAAGTTAAAGTAATTTATGACAGTAAAAAAAAAAAAAAAAAGTACCTAGAAAAATAAAAGAATACATCACTACAAGGATTTCGAAGGAATGATTTCTACAAAGCACCATACTGTGTCATTGTATCTTTGTCAATACTGAACCGCTATAAATTTTATTTTATCCTCCCCTGAGCAGTGTTGTAGTTGCAGACAATCTTTTTGCAATTTGTTATGGGTCCAGTGTTCAAGTTTAGGAGTACATAGGACCTGAACATCCCCCTCCACCCCCAACTCCCAGCCTACAAAAGGCAGAAATTCATGAACGACCCTAAAGTGAACTGGCATATAAAATTACATATAGTATTTCACCAGCTGCAGACC